TATTCTATTCTAAGTTTTAATATTAATTTAACCTTATATTAAATATCTATAGCAATAGTTTTTCTGTTAGATTTTTTGAATTTATCATATTAATCACATGATACAATAATTTTAGTTAAAAATTTACTAATTAATTTTTTATTTAAATAATATCTGATATTACATTTTTTACAATATATACTTTCTTAAAATCAATTACCGTATCCTTCTGATTTTAAGCACTACCCCAACTTTCAGCACAAAAACTTGAAAAACAAAAATAAGCACTACCCAAATTTGAAAAATTTTTATTATATTTCATATTTTATTTCAAAATAAAATTTTATTTTATAATTCATCATCATCTTCCAATTCATCTAATTCATCAGCCGAATCACTATCTATATCTATAACTTCTCTTTCATTTTTATCAATTTCCTCCTCTTTTTTATCTTGTCCAAATAAATAGTTTTCTGATCCATCTATTACGTTACTAATACCGCATTTTTTAAATGACTTTACAATCATTTCCTTTGGAATTTTCGCTCATACCTCAAGTATTCATTTGCAAATAATATTATATTTAGGCTTTCTTAAATTCCCACCTTTAGTATAAGAAAATTGACCCAAACTTATCCAAATGTTTCACTTTTCACGAAGTCTATCTTTAAATGGCTTATTAAGACAAACATCAAATGGCTGAACAATAGAAGTGAGACCATTAGGAATGATTGCCAAATCAGTATTTTTATCGAATGCAATTTTTTTTATAGCATCCGTCTTATGACCTTCAAAACTATCCATAACAAGAAGGAATCTTTGTTTATTGATTCTATTTCCTCCTGGCCTTTTTCTCCAAACCTTATCAAACCAGGTTTTCATTTCAGATTCATCCATCCATTCTTTTGGATGCATCAATACAATAATTCCAGAAGGTAAATTTTTTGGTATTTGCTTACCTTTAAAAATGACAATTAGTGGTAATTTTGTACTATTTGCAAAAACTGTAAGAACACATGTAAACCAATTTTTTTCATTCCCAGTTGTTCGAATTTGCACAGTTTTAGCATCACAATTTTCTATAGTTAAGTTTCTAATCATATCAAAATAAACAGAAGTTTCATCCATGTTTCCAATTTCACAAAGTTCATATTCAAATTGTTTTCATTTTTTAATAATAAACTGCTAAAACTCTAAAAGTTTGTCATTAAGGTGAGCAGGAAGTTTTTGGCTGATTTTTGTTTTACGTCGCAGAGAAAATCTATTCCTTTTAAAAAAACTATAAAACCAACATTCTGAAGCAAGAAAATTTTCACTATTTGGATAAATATGAGCAAACTCTTTTATTAAAATTTCTTTCATATAAATTTTAACCATTTTAGAAGTTACTGCAATACCATCTTTTCGAAATTCTATAAGCCATATTTTTAAACTAGTTTCAGCTTTGGGATATTATGCTTTTCTTCCTGCGTCAATACGTCGATTTTTTTCTTTTGCTGACTTAAGTTTATCTCCCTGTTTTTTTAACGTGAAATCATTGAATGATCAATAGAAAAATGACGTGCAGCTGCTCTTTGACCATGATTTTTGCATATTGCAAAATCTCAAGATTTTCACTAGCAGAATATGATGACCTTTGAATTTTTGACATTGCGTGTGAAAAAAATGTATGTAAAATAGAGGTAAAATTAAATTTATATAAATTTATGTAGTACTAAATTTTTTTGAAACACAAAAAAAAATTAAAAAAAACTTCTGAATTTAAGCACCATCCCAAACTTTAGTGAAAGTTTTCCCTCAAAAAAGTGGTACTTAAAATCGGAAGGATACGGTATATCAATCTATTCAATTAATTTTTCATTTGAATCTTCATATAATTGATTATTTCATAGGCTGTCTTTTTTATATGAAATTTTATCAATAAAAAATAGAATAATTAGAATATCCACCTAAAATATAAAAATCAAATATTAGTTTATTCATTTACCTTTCTTTTGTTTTTTTTTGATTTTATTGATTATTACTAACCTCTTTTTTTATTTCCTGATTTTTTTAGGTCTTATATATTAAATATAATTTTAAAAAAAATTTGTGTCTAAAATATAATATTAAGAGGTCATAGTTAATTTTGCATTTTACTTTTTTTATTTTATTAATTGTTATTTACTAATCTTTTTTTTATTATCTCTAGCTTTTTAAGTTAGTATATTAAAATAGAGCTCTAAAAATATTCTCGCTTAAAAACATAAAATCAAGAGATAAAGGTTATATTCTTTTTTTCTCACCTGCTTTTTAGATTTAGTATATTGAAATGAAGCTTTAAGAATGTTTGCTACTAAATAAAAGATCAGAAGTTAAGGTTAGTTGCTATTTTGCTTTTTTTAATTTTATTAATCATTACTAATCTCCTTTTTATTTTCTCCTGCTTTTTAGATTTAATATATTAAAATAGAGTTCTAAAAATATTCATATTTAAACATTGTTAGTGATAATCCGTTTGCATCACTAAATGACTGTGCTAACTAACGTCATCAATAATCACTAAAAAAATCATGATCATCATTTTCACTGCTATCACGGTTATCATTGTGATATTCATTTTCTTTATTTTATTTATTATCATATTTATCATTATTTTATTTAATATATTTATTTTCATAGTT